GGCCCCGGGCGCGTGGCTATGGGGGGGGCCCTGGCCCCAGGCTCGCAAGTGTCCCCGCCCCCTGGCGCCCGGTGGGCAAACGGCCACTCCCCCGGCGCCCGGTGGGCAAACGGCCATGCCCCCTGGCGCCCAGCAACCTCTAATGGTTGGGGACCACTGCTCTAGGGAGTCAAGCATCGGCACCTGGGGAAGAGCTGGCACTGGTGCAGGCAACAGCACCGGTGACAGCAACTGCAAAAACACAGAAGCAGGGGAGTCCCTGTTTCCTGTCTCCAACGTTCTCACCGGGACCCTTACCTTCACCTCCACTATACCAGTCACCACTTCAGCATGCCTACCGTCAGGACAGCCCGAGACATCACAACTACTGCTGGCCTCACTATTTGCCATACGGATCCCGCTCCCATTATAATGATCATTACAGATGTTGATCCTACTCCCCGCCACACAGGTAGCTGCCACGCTATTCTCATTCTCCACATGCCAGTTACGATAGGTGATATACAAGCTGCAGATCATCCAGGTACTTGTAACTTCACCCATCTGATCAATACTACAACCACTGTTATGACTCCCCTTATTCTTCGCATTATTACTATCACCAGTGTGCACATCAACAATCTCTATGCTCTGAACCACCACCAGCACAACATACGCTACCGCAGTCACAACATAATCGCCAGCCAGCCCGCCCCTCCTGTATGCAGTCCGGGCGCAACCACACAGCAGTCTGAGCTGAAAGAGGGCCAGATGTTGGAAGTGGAGGACCAATAGATGGAGATCCCAATCCTGACCGTTCGTCCTCCTCTCCTGATGAGGCGGTGTTCCCAGCGGATACGTCTCTGCCGGACAACTTCAAACAGTTCCAGGACCTTTTTAAACAGGTGGCCCAGTCCCAGGAGGTCCAAACAGAAGTGCAAACAAAGCAGTATCGACTATTCAAGAATCTTTACCCAAGACAGAGTGTGAAAGTAGCCATCCCTATCGATAAGGCCATCATGGAGGCTGCAGAAGTCATTTGGCAGACACCAGCATCGGTCCCACCGACCTGCGGGAGAGCAGACAAGAAATACTTAGTCCCTTCCAAAGACCTGGAGTTCCTGTTTAATCACCCACAGCCGAACTCCTTGGTGGTAGATGTGGCACAACAGTGTGCCAAAACACCTCAGTACAAGATGACGACAGATGTAAAAAAGTTAGACACATTTGGTAGAAAGGTATATTCTTCTGCAACCCTGCTCTTACACATAGTGAATTATGCTGCCTTGTTATCTAACCACAACTTTGGTAACTAAATGCTATCGTGCTATCTTCTCAATCTACCAGAAACCAAGCACCCCCTCTTAAAGTCCTATGTGCAAGAAGGTTTTGCAACAGCATGAGCGAGCTTACAAATTTCATTGGATGTGGCAGACACAGCGGTCCACACCATTGCGACAGCAATAGCGATGAGGCGCTCATCTTGGCTTACCTCTGCGGTGGTCCCCAAGAAGCTTCAAACGAAAGTGGAAGACCTCCCATTTGATAGAAACAAACTATTTGCGGAAAAAACAGACTAGGTCCTCCATTCGGGAAAGGATTCCTGCTCAACACTCTGTACTTTGGGGATGTATACACCTCCCTTTAGGTGCAGGAGGTACTATCCCTATCAGAGGAGGTATGACTACCCCTTTCAGAGGCAACAACATCAACAACGACCTATAGACCAGTTGCATGTAAGACAACACCCACAGTGCAAACAACCCCAACCATCCCGTACAGCCAACCAGCAAAATTCAAAGCAGTAAGTTTGATGGTTTCATCAAGGGCTTGCAGCAAGTCCATCCAGTAAAGACAAATCAGCAGGTCACCTACTCCTTTCACCATCGACTACGACCTTTTCAAGCTCAGTGGGTGGCTATTACCCATCAGTCCAATGTATTACAACTCATGGTATCCGGGCTCACCATCCCCCTTCACAACCATACCACCGACAAATCCACCAACCCCGTCCCTCTTCAGGGACTCATCTCACGAGACCCTGTTGAAGGAAGAGGCCCAGCGTCTGCTGTCCATAGGAGCTATAGAGGCCATTCCTCCCCAGTTCAGAGGAAGAGGGTTCTGTGTTTAGTATTTTCTCACAAAGAAAAAAACTGGAGGGTGGAGGCCTATCCTCGACCTCAGGAAGTTGAACAAGTACCTCCTCTGTCAAAGGTTCAAAATGGTGACCCTTTACACGACGATGGTATTATCCGACAAGGACGATTGGTTTGCAGCCCTCGACGTGTAGGACACGTATTTTAAATATAGAGATCCATTCAGCTCACAGGCGTTTCCTCTGCTTCACCATCAGCAATGATCATTTTCAATACTGCATGCTACCATTTGGCTTTGCATCGGCCCCAGAGTTATTTCGAAGACTCTGGCAGTTGTAGCAGCTCACCTGTGGTGCAGAAGCGTGATCATATTCCCGTACCTCAACAACTGCCTTTATAAAAGGCAGGTTGAGGCAAGAGACACTACACATGATCACAGTAGCCAGACAAGCCTTCCAATAGCTCGGACTCATAATCGAGCAAAAATCGACTACAGAGCCTATGCAGATTATAAAGTTTATAGGGGCCTGACTAGATTCTACCACTGCTCGTGCATACCTACCTCAAGAGCATTTTTAGATTATACAGGAACTAGCCACAGTCATCTTCCACACCCCTACAGTGACTGCTCACGTGCCTCCACCTCATGGGGCATATGGCTGCCACCACCTTTGTGGTTCAACATGCGAGACTCCATTTCTATTGCCTGCAGCATTGGTTGGCATCAGTATATACTCCAGCGAAACACAGCACTCACAAGGTGATAAATCCAATCTCTCTAGTTTGCAGATCACTAGATTGGTGGTTGAACCCCCAAAACCTGCTAACGCGGGTTCCATTCAAATGTCAACAGCCATCAAGCCAGCTGACTACAGACGCCTCCCTTCTGGGCTGGGGTACACACATAAATGGCATGTCCCTGCAGGGGAGAAGGTCTTCAAAGGAGGCTGTTTTACATATCAATCTCCTGGAACTAAAAGCCGTATTCCTTACTTGCAGATTTTTCCAGATGCACATTACTGGTACGATCGTCCGGGTTCTGACGGACAATATAGCCACTATATATTATTTCAATCATCAAGGAGGAGTGCGTTCCCGACTACTCTGCACACAAGCAGTCCGCATATGGAACTGGTGTGTGCAAAAACTCATCACCGTAAGAGCGTCTTACTTACCAGACATGAGCAACGTCATGGCGGATGCACTCAGCAGACATTTCCCTCATGAGCAGACATTTCTCTCATGACCATGAGTGGGAAATCCGTCCCAGTGTTCTGAACCGCATCTTCCATGCTTGGGGATGGCCTTGGATAGACCTTTTTGCTACCTATGACAACAGGAAAGGTCACCTATACTGTTCGAGAGGGGGTGTAGGTAAAGGGTCCCTTGGCGATGCCCTGCTAGTCCGCTGGGAACGACCTCTGCTTTATGCATTCCCACCAATGGTGCTTATACCGAGGGTGATACAGAAAATCAGAGAGGATTCAGCCCGAGTCATTCTCCTAACACCAACCTGGGCAAGACAACCTTGGTACCCGTTTCTCCACAGGATGTCCCTGCAACCACCACATCCTTTGCCCCTACTCCCAGATCTTCTCTCTGAGCTACGGCTCCCTGCTACATCCGAGACTGGAGACTCTCCATTTGACAGCGTGGCTCCTCGCTGGCTCAACATAGAGGAGCGCCTTTGTTCAGAGAGAATGAAGGCGGTGCTGTCGAACTGTAGGAGAGAAACTACAAGGAAGACTTACCTGGCAAAATGGAATCGCTACTCCACACCCTCAATGTATGTCGAGTTATAGCGTTTTATATTGACAGAACACGGACCTGGCGCAAAATCAACTGCCTAATAGTATCCATAGTGGATCGCTCCAAGGGCAACTTATCCTCCCAGCATCTTTCTAAGGTCATAGTTTCTTGCATCACTACTTGTTTGAGCCGCAACAAGACCTTCGGACTTGACCTAGGGCACACGCCACCAGAGCAGTAGCAACATCCACTGCTTTTGTCTGTGGAGTCTCACTGCCGGACATCTGCAGGGCAGCCACATGGTCCTCAAACTTGACTTTTACGAACCACTATGCAATAGTTCAGCGGTGGGTAGCTGATTCCTCTGTGGTTTCAGCAGTACTTTCTGTCATTGACAAACCTTAACTCTGGGAACGCAACAGTGGGTACTGCTACATAGTCACCAACAGTGGAGTACCCACGGGGACCACTTGAAGAAGTTACTCACCTTTGTGCAGTAACAATGGTTCTTCGAGATGGGTCCCCATGGGTGCTCCACGTCCTGCCCTTCTTCCCTGTTCTGGAGTTGTTGTTGTTTTTATATCTTTGCAGATACCAAACAGTGAGAGGAACTGAGCAGGGAACCAGGTGTGTGCGATGATCAAAGGGCGTGAATGGCATGAGCTGTGGATCACACATGCACAACCCAGCTGAACACAGCTATTGGTGCCGGGACAAGCCTGACACCATCAGTGGAGCACTCACGGGGCCCCATCTCAGAGAATCATCGTTACTGCATGAAGGTGAATAACTACTACTTCTTCAAGTGATGTCCCTGTGGGTGCTCCACTGTTGGTGGTGGGTCGCCCAGAGCTGCAAATCGGAGCATTGCAAAGCAGTTCTTCCCCGCCCCCCGGGCAGGGCTGCGTATGTACAGGAGGCATCTTGTGCCACTGCCTCACGAGTGCCTGACTTGTGTGGCCCTGTCCCTCCCCTTCAGTTCCTCTTCAGTTGCCCTCGGCTGTGGACAGAGCTTCAACACACTCTCTCTTGTTACCACAGATTATTATTTAGTGTTTGGATAATTTCTTTTAGTGAGTTAGTGTTAGAAATTTGTGTAAATAGTTTCCCTCCATTTTTACCTCATTTTTTTTCTTCCCTTCAGGGGATTTGAACATGGCGTTAGCGCCTCAAGCGTGGTGAACTGGGCATCTCTTGGTTCCCTGCTTCTTGCGGGGGAAGGAACGGAGTCAAATCAACAAATATTACCTATTATGTCTGCCTCCCCAGGCTTTAAGAAATGTACTGACTGCTGAGAGCCCATTCCAGTACCTGATGTCCATTCCCTCTGTATACGCTATTTGGGGGAAGCCCACAATCCTCAAAAATGCAAGCACTGTTCAAGCCTGACAGCAAGGGCAAGAAAAGATAGAGAGTTCTGCTGGAGAATGGGCACTACAGCCTATCGAGGCGCAAGATGCCTCCTCTAACCAGGACAGTTCTCTAAAGAAAAGGGCTGCCTCCCCCCACCCCGCCAGGAAAGTGACAAAGAAGAGAGCTTCTCCAGTTTGCTCTCTCCCTTCTTCCTCCTCCCCAAGAATTAGCAGGGGAGAGAGACCTGGAACATCTGGAGCCACCACCACAAAATCAGCAGGCAGAGCCCATACTGTGGCACCTACACCAGTGCGCACCTCCTCTGTGCAGAGAGAAGTACCAGGGCACCCTAATTTCTCAGTGCTGCTTAAGAGCTTGGTACTGCAAAAAGCTGCAGTACCGCAGGCAAAAGTGGTGCGCTCTAACAAGCTGGCACCGCCTTCAATGCCGCCACTCTCAGCACCAGCCACGTCGGTGCTTGATACAGACCTGCAGTTAACGCAGGCAATATCCGGCAGATCTAACTAATTATCTGACAGGTCAAGGGCCCTCAGTCACACCCGGCTTCTACAGGTCTGTCACCTGCAGTATCTCCCAACACACAGCTCCCCACATGGGATTAGGTCTCCAGTACTCTCTCACTGTAGTCCCTTGCCTGATGATGACCAAATCCATGCATTCTCATCCCCTACGGGCTCACACACTGTTACAGAGCAAGACCTCATCAGCCTGCCTGGTACCCACATTGGTCTTACCCACCACAGTGGGCATCTTGGAATCACTGGGATCTAGATAGGCAACGCTCATCAACCCACTTCACAACAGCAAAAAGATGCTTGCTTCTGTTTTGATCCCTTCCCCCACCCGAAGAGTCAGAGGAGGAGGCGGGACAGATAGATGATAGGGATCCAGACCCTCATACACTGGATACCTCTCCAACAGATAATGCCTCCCTCACTGTCAGATGATGTGGTCATACTATCTGACACATGCCCAACCCATGAGCTTAAACAATTCCAGGCATTATTCAAAAGAGTACCAAGAAGGTTCTGCCTCAGGAAGTGCAGGAAAAGCAGCACTGTTTGCTGAAGAATCTGCACCCTGTGTTGCAGGGAAAAATTGCCTTGCCCATCGTTGAGGCAATTATGGAGACATCTGATGAGATGCAGGTGTTTGCCACAGCTATACAACCTAGCTGTAAAAGGGCGGGCAGAAAATACTTTGTTCCATCCAAAGACACTGAATTTTTATTCACACACCCACAGCCAAACTCTTTGGTTGTAGAGCTGGTTCAGCACAGATCCAAACTGCCCCAGTATAATTTGGCTAACCAAGATAGGGACCACAAGAAGCTAGATTTTTTTGGTAGAAAGGTCTACTCTTCCTCCACATTGCAGCTTACAATAGCAAATTCCACTGTCCTCTTGATAAAGCATGATTTTGATAATTACTTGAAACTACTCATGGAACAGCTCCCCAATTCAAATAGGCCTATCTCGAAAGTGCTAGTCCATGAGGGCCACACTATCGCAAGTTCTGCCCTACAAATAGTTCTAGATGTGGCAGATATTGCAGCCAGGGCAATGGCCACAGCAGCTGGGATGCAAAGGACATCCTGGTTACAAGCTTCAGGGATTCCTTGTGAGCTCCAGTCTAAGGTGAAGGATCTCCCATTTGACAAGCAAAAGTTATTTGCATCCAGCACAGACGAAGTTCTCCATAGTAGCAAAGACTCAAGAACCTCTCTCTGTACATTGAGCATGTATAATTCACCTTACCAGCGCAAGCGCCATACTCCCTGTAACTAACAGACATGGTCAATATAATCAGCCCCCTCAAAGATCTTATGAGGATACTTGATTCTCAACACTGTCCTCAAAGGAGGTGTTCCAACCACTATCACCCAGCTACCACACAGGCCTCAAAATAGCAGGTTTGAGCATGTGGTCAAGGTTCTGCACAACCTCCTCCACAATCCAATGCCAACACAGCAGCACCATCTTTTACCTACCGTTTGCGTCCCTTCCTACTACACTGACAGTCCATAACATCGAAGCACTGGGTGCTGGAGATCATCCTTACAGGAAATACTATCCTCTTTACTCTGTCCCCACTACCCTACCTCCTACCCTGTCCCTCTTCAGGGATCCCTTTCACGAGAGCCTGCTAAGATAGAAGGTCGATCATCTCCTGATGCTTAGAGCCATAGAGGAGGGTACCCAATGAATTCCATGGAAGGGTGGGTTCTACTCCAAGTATTTCCTGACAGAAAAGAACAGGGGATTGGAAATGGATCCTTGACCTCTAAAAAACTGAACAAATTTCTCAGGAAGCAGCACTTCAAGATGCTCACGCTAACTGCAATTACTCTGGCATTAGATCAGGGGGCTGGTTCACAGCCCTTGACCTACAGAACACCTATTGTCACATCACCATTCACCCAGCTCATCGCCGTTACCTTTGTTTCATACTAGGAGCAGACCACTACTAATATAAGATTCTGCCTTTCAGCCTCTCCTTGGCTCCCTGAGTGTTTTTCAAAGGTTCTAGCCATAGCCACTGCAAGACTATGTGTAGCTGTCATAGGTATCTTCATCTTTCTGGGTCTCAGCATGGGTAGGGGGTAGTGCCAGAAAGAGGTAAGCCTCCCCCAACCCAAGCAGTGGCCCCATCCTTGCTCCCCTGAAGACAGTGGGGGCTTAGTTTGGACCCAAAAAAGGTTCATAAATAGAATGTTGAAATCTTTTTGTGTTGGACATAATGTTTTACTTTAAAAATGAAGCCTGTCCAGCAAGTGCTCAATTGGGGCCCCGTCTCCATCTGGCCGCAGCATTGTAACACTCTTGTACCCTCTCCACCCCAGCCCTGAGCCCATCATATACCTGAATCCCCTGCCCTGACCCCTCATAATCCCACATCCCTAGTCTCCTGCTATAACACTGCTGCACCCTCCACACCCCAACCCTGAGCCCCTTATACATCTGAACCCCCTGCCCTAAGCCCCTCATGCCCCCAGACTCCTGCACTCCCACATCCCCAGACTCCTGCCACAAGATTGACAGAAGACAGCCTGAATGCGTGCTTGAAGCTGGATTTGACCAGTTACAATATAAATGTCAAAGAAATGTGCAAAAAGATACAGCAGCAGAAATCCCATTAATTAAAGTCTGTGAGTACAAGGTTTCATTTATGCTATTAATCATTGTCAATTATCAATAATATTAAGTTGAATATTTTCAGTCATGCAAATGGATACTCTTATAAGGCTCTTTGTTGACCACGTGTTCTGAATTTTGATGTAGTTTGGCTCTTTGGTTTGAAAAAGTTGCAGACCTCTGTCCTAGGGCAACCTGACTGATGAGGCATGGAAAAAGCAGTCATGTGCTTTAACAGTAACAAGCATGCAAAAGAGACATTATGTTGAAACATGTGAAAAGTGTTTCTTGGGTAGTGCAAGAGAATGGAATCTCCAAGACAAGGTAACAACAATTAGTAACAATTAGTATTAACAGTGTGATCAAAACTGTGAATAGTTTGTTTTGTTTGAGTTAATCACTGAATTAGCTGCCATTGACAGCCCTACTGGGAAGCTGAATATTTAGCAAAAGACAGCTTTTCTACTAGCTGTCTTTTAAAGCAATTGAATTAAATATGTGTTAAAGCAGGCTGAATAAACAACACTCTTGCTTTACTTATTAATTATATTTCACTTACATGACATTTGCTATCATATGCCTATCTTTTTTTTCAGGAAAAGCAGGGTACAGAAGATCTCAATTCCTAATATAAGAAACAAGCATAAAAACAGGAAAAAATATCCTCTTTGCCTCCTTTGTATATCATAAAGCAAAAGATGTCATGAACTTAATTTTATTTTCCATTTGATGTTAGTTTTAAAGGGTTTACATAAGTCTAGACTTGTTTACTTTATCAAGTTAATCTCAATGATAGAAATATTTGTAAAGCTACTGTCCATAATATCTTCATTCATCTTACACTGTTATGACTTTTGTGCTACATACTATCTTGCAGTTTGACAGAAGACAAACTTGTTTAATTTGAAGTTTCAAATTTTACAGATCACCTTCAAACACAGGCCTGGACTGGTGCAGAGATCCTGGATATCCTCAAGGTCTGGGACGAGGAGACCAACCTCCAAAATCTATGCACCAGAAGGCACAATGCTGAGGTCTACAGACAGATGGCTGCCAGCCTGACTGAGAAGGGACACACATGGACCCTCAACCACGTCCGCATGAAGATAAGGGAGCTCAGGCAAGTCTACAGTAAGGCCAGGGAGCAGCAAGGACACTCTGGGGCAGTGCTGCTACTATGAACAGCTCAATGCCATCCTGGGAGGGGGGCCAGTCACCTCCCTCCACCTGTTGTTCTCAATTTGGCCAGGATACGTCTGGGGTCAGCCTCCACGGGGACAGGGTGGAGGAGGAGGAGCAGGTCAGCCAGTCGACCAGTCCTGCAAGCCAGGAGTTGCTCCTCAGCATGGAGCCAGTTCCTTCCCTGTCTCCCCACCACGCAGGATGTTTCTCAGGCATTGGACAAACCCAGGATAGGTACTTTAATTGAGTTCTGTAATTTTCCTTATACGCACAAGGGGGAGGAAGCAGGCTGGGAGGGGCTGCGTGCTCCTCACTTGGCCTGGCAGTCACACAGCCTGTGCATGTGGGTGCACATGGAGCATGAGTTTGGAGCACTCGGTCCCATGATGCTTTTACACAGGAATCATTGTTTCCGCTAAGGTTCATGCCTGTGCGGCCGTGCACAAAAAGTTCTCTGCCCACCCACCACCTTCACAGAGCCACACAGTGTGCTGGTGGAAGCAGCTGAGCTGCTGCTGCTGATGGTGAATGAGTGGGGGCTCAGCTGGGCAGCTCTTTGCTGTCCCAACTCCTCAGGGCTGTGGCCAGTGCCATGCAATAACTGCCCAGTTGCTCTGGGGTTGGGGCCAGGACCACATGGTGGCAGCAGTGACTCCTGTGGCTGCTGGGGTTGGAGGAGCTGTGTAACAGGAGGTGGTGGTAGCAGCAGCTGCTCTGGTTGGCTGGGACCAGAGCCAGAGGAGCCATGTGACAGGAGGCAGCAGCACCTGTTCCAGCTGGCTGGGGCTAGAACTGGAGGAGCTGCATGGTAGGGGTGCACCAAACTGGTCTGATAGGATGAGATCCCACACAAGGCCAGCTGTGGATTGTGGAGGTCTCGGATTCCCCCACCAGCAGGCTGTTAGCAGGGCCTGACCCCAGAGCTAAAAGGCCAGGTGGGCAGCCCCCACCCCCAATAGACCTCCACCCTCTGTTTAGCATCTTGC